TCTCTCTCTCTCTCTCTCTCTCTCTCTCTCTCTCTCTCTCTCTCTCTCTCTCTCTCTCTCTCTCTCTCTCTCTCTCTCTCTCTCTAACCACCTCTTTATTTAACTTCCCCCGCTGGCCGAACGTCATGGCGATCCAACGCAAAGTGAAGTAAACGACAGCAACACCGTGCACAGTCACAACCGAAAACGTGGGCGACAAGCGGGGGTGGTGCGGCATACACTCCATGGGTGACCCAGAAGGCGAGATTCGCATGCACTGCGGAGTTGACGACGGTCGACAGTATGCAAAATAGGGAGCTTTCTTCCTCGCCACTCACACACCCCCCCTCCTTCCTCGCCGCTCGCACACCCTCCTACTGCCCTCGCCATGTTCACACGCAACTAAGAGTCTGCACCCGCACACTCGCGCACCCACACACCCCTGCACCCGCACACTCCCACACCTGCACCCTCTCGCCGGCATGGCGCGCGCCCACGCCCGAACCGTCACTCGTCACGCGGGGCACCTACCCGTGGTATCATCCTATCACACACCGATGCCCGCGCTTTTCATCGTCGTCGTCGTCTTCAACAGCCTCCCCCTTGTTTCAACTATCCACATGAAGATTGGCCATGATCGTTGTGTATAGGAGGCTCGTCCCTTCATCTGTCTCTCACTTCCCTTCGTTTTCGTCGTCAGCCGCCGGTGGACCACTCCCGACCCAGTCGTGATTGGCGGCCTCAACAACATTCTTCAACGCCACATTGTGAGCGCACAGCACCCCGCAATCGACCCATTCCGGGACGTTGTGCGGATACTCTCCCATCGTGATGTATGGCTTCCCCAGGTGATCCAATACGATGTTCACCGTGTCGATGATGTGACGCCTCCAGTTGAATGCATAAGACCCCGCAGCAATAAGGGTGGGTTTTGCCGTGAGTGCAGCGAAGTATCCTGCGTCGTAGTGCGAGCGATAGTCGTCGCCACCCATTCGCATGATCCACATGCAAGCGCTTAAAAGATACCGCAAACAATCCGCGAGTCTAGACAGCCTATCGTGCTTCAACCTACCGTTGTCCGCCTACTGCCCACAGTGCAACGCATCCGTCCAGCAATCCGCCACGTGAATGATTGTCGCCTCCTGTTGTGTGGCCATGTCATCATCTTCAGGCCTGTCGACGATTTTCAACCTCACAAACCAAAGAGGCACGTCCATCTTCATCTGCAATGTGTAGTAGACGAGCGTCGGGGAGACCACTCTCGACCATTCGAAGCCTTGCCACACAACACACGCGACGTCGGTGGCATAGTCCACGATGATGTAGGACTCCGCACGTGTGAATCCATTCAATCTTGATGACGACTTGAAGATCCACCTGTGGATCACTCGCATCACGATTTTCTCGACGGCCCTTGCTCTCCACAAAGCCAAATCACGCTGTGTAGGATCGTCGATTTTCGTGCGGTGGATATCAGCAGGCGGCATGATGAGCATGGGCGGCGGCTCAACTCCCAAGTCCCCATTGGCGATGGCGACGAAGTAATCCGCGCAGTCCATAACCGCCTCCCTCAACGGTTTGTCGGGACCTTGACCCCAGAACGCGTCACTATCCACCCACAATATCGACCTACGCTCCAGATCGTCCTCCGGGCCATGCTTCTTCAACCTTTTTGAAGGGCGGTTGTCGTCGTCGTTGTCGCTCTCCCCCCTCCCATCCCCTCTGTCGTCTTCGTGGCGAACGTCCACTACCCTTCTCTCTTCCCCACCACCACCTGACCCGGTCGTCGTCGGGGGGGGCCATCCCTGTGACCCCACCCTCCCCGTCCTGCGCAGGGGACTTCGCCTTGCCCGTCCCCGAACCGCCCGCCTGTTGCGTTGTCAGCTCTTCACGGGTTGGCGATGGTGACGCGACCTGCTTTTCCACCCCCCCTGCCCCAGCGACCGGGATGATCGTACCACGACCGACGCTTGAAGCCGCATCCCCCGCCGGCAGGAGTGGCTATGGCGACCGCCCCTCGTTGATCACTAACCCCCCTCCCTTCCGTGTCCTCACTTGGGCGACGGTGGCAGCACTTCTGCCAGCCTGTTTCAATGTCGTGACCAGCGCCCTCGACACACCGTCCCACCCGAAACCCAATCGCCCGCCCGCCTGCTGGCTTTGGACGCCCGCCACCGCCACGTTCTCCTCTTCTTTGTCGCATCCGAGTTGTTATCAACTACGATCTTTGTTGCAGACTTCCTGAAGTGGCCCTGTCCTCTCTTGCCTTCCCCCCCTCTCCTCCTCCGCTCTCTGTCCTCCCCCTCATTGTCGTGTTCCGTTGCAGCATGTGGACAACGGTGCGCGGTATGCGACGTGAGAGAGCACCGAGTAGATTGCACGTCTGGTGGAAAGGCTACGGGTACACTGCGGCACGGAATGGTGGGCGCACCGCCCTTTTGTAGCTTTCGCCGCACTCCAACGAAACACGGATGAGGGTCGCCGGACATGCACCCTGCCCTTTCGTAAAATGCATGCGGACCTTCTTTACCCGTCCAATGCGTATCCGAGTCCTCGCCCGTCGCCTGGGCCCGCGCCGACGCTCCAGCTCACCGTATTTTTCCCGCCACCACCCATTCGTCGTCCACAACTCTAGCGTTGCATGAAAGAGACAGCGCAGTGCGGCGCCTAGTCCCTCCAAGAAGGCATACAAAAAGTTCCTCCAACCATCTTGCATGCCGACCCGCGCAGTCGGGCCACGTACCGTTCCTACGCCCTCTAAATTCTGCATGAATGCAACACCTCGTCCACCTCTTCTCCTTCCTAGTTGTCGTCCGACGCTGCATCCATCCGATTGTCGAAACTGCAGCCAAGGGTGACAGGAAAAATGGACCAGCAGTACACACGAAGATGACTTCAGGATCGTTCCCGAGTCGCTTTCCCAATCTCCAACAGAGCGTTGCACATCATGAGGTTCGCCTGATCGGCCTTTTCGTAGTGTTGTCTCTGGACGTCCACCTCCCGCTCGAGAATATCACACTGCCTCGTCAGAACCGAGCTCTGCCGTTTGCTCGCAGAGTTCACTGTTGTCGCCATCAGTTGCCCGTGCTTGTCCATGACGTCTGCGATCGCCTCAAAGGTCTGTTGTCTGACATTTTTCCTTTTTCCAGCCCCTCCACCACTCCCGCCGGTAAACGTTGAATCCCGCTGTAGGGCAAAACCCTGGTAGACTTTCGAGCCTTAGTCGACCCCACTGCGGGTCCCAGTTGGCTCGGCCCGCCCACGCTCATGCTCAGGGCGCGGGCTGTTCGTCCCGAGGTCACCCCCACCTAGTGCTTTGAGATGAATGGGGGTGGGCCATCGCGAGAGAGAGCTTTGACATTGGGGATGTAGCTCAACCCTCACGCCGGGTGGTAGTCTCGTTGGTCGTTCCTCAACGCTGATTTTTTTTTATGCCTTATTGTGTTCTCAAGCAATTGCTCCTTCCAATACGCAGGCAGTCCAGGGGTTCTTTGAGCGTTTCTCTTCTCTTGTGCGTAGGTTAAGCGTCATCCTTAGGCCACACACCATTTCCCTAAGCATTTTGGCTATATGGCGTCATCGGGGTGCGGTGGGGCCGTCCTCCCCCTCGCCTCTACGCATCCATCGGATCTCACAATTTGCTTCCCACCTTATTGAAGTAGGCCCCTTAGTCTTTTCGGGGTCCTCATATGTATGCACACACAACATCACATTTTCCTTGGTACGATTGCACACACTTCCCAGTCTCAAGTGCAAGGAGTCATTTTCATGAATTGGCTCTATAACAAGGGTCCCATAGCCCCTTTGTCCCTCTTCCCTTTCCCTCTTGGTGCCCAGTTCCTCTCGCCCTTATCCCGCTCAAGGCATTTCTAGCCATTACTCACCTGCACAATCCCACACAAGCAAGCGGATCCATACAATGTCCCCCGTTGG